CAGGTTCCTGTGATTCTCCTCTCAGCGTCCTGAGTAGCTGGGATTACAGGTGTACGCCACGACGCCTGGCTAATTTTTGTATTTTTAGTAGAGACGGGGTTTCACCATGTTGTTCTCGAACTCCCGACCTCGTGATCTGCCTGCCTCAGCCTCCCAAAGTGCTGGGATTATAGGCGTAAGCCACTGCGCCTGGCTCATCTTTATTTTCAATATGCATAATATTTTGAGACAGGGTCTCCCTCTGTCACCCAGGCTAGAGTGCAGTGGCATCTCGGCTCACCGCAGCTTTAACCTCCCGGCTCAAGCCGTCCTCCCACCTCAGCCTCCCAAGTAGCTGATACCACAGGTATGTACCACTATGCCTGACTTTTTTTTTTTTTTTTGAGATAGCGTCTCCCTCTGCCACCCAGGCTGGAGTGCAGTGGCATGATGTCGACTCACTGCAGCCTCAAGCTCCCAGGCTGAATCAATCCTCCCACCTTAGCCTCCCCAGTAGCTGGAAGATGTGAGTCACTACGCCCAGCTAATTTTTGTATTTTTTTGGTAGAGATGGGGTTCTGCCATGTTGCCCAGCCTGGTCCCAAACTCCTAGGTTCAAGCAATCCTCCCTCCTGGGCCTCCCACAGTGTCGGGTGTTTTCAGTAACCTTTTAACTGAAATTTAGCATTTCCTTTCACTTTGAATTTAGGTAATGAACCACAGTAGTATTAGCAGTATCTGCGGTTTCAGCTCAATAGCAGTTACAGATGTGCTTACTTTAGAATGGCTGTGGATCTCTTGAACCATAATTTGTGTGCATCACCAGTTTTTTATTACTTTATTAGGGCTGCTGCTAGATCTAGTTAATATGATAACCAAGAAGTAGACTTGTACTCTATCAAATATCTGGGTTTAATTTTCTTTATTTTTTGAGAAAGAGTCTGGCTCTGCCAACCAGGCTGGAGTGCAATGGCGTGATCTTGGCTCATTACAACCTCCGCCTCCCAGGCTCAAGTCATCCTCCCACCTTGGCCTCCCAAGTAGCTGGCACTACAGGCATATGACACCACGCCCGGTTAATTTTTTTTTTTTTTTTTTTGTAATAGAGACAGAGTCTCACTTTGTTGTCCAGGCTGGTCTCAAACTCCTGAGCTCAAGCAATCTGCCCACCTAGGCCTCCCAAAGTGCTAGGATTACAGGCGTGAGCCACAGCACCTGGCCCATGCCTGTAATCTCTTTAAGAGGCCAAGGTGGGAGGATGGCTTGAGCCCAGGAGGTTGAGGCTGTAGTCAGCTGTTATCGTGCCACTGCACTCCAGCCTGGGTGACAGAATAAGACCCTGTCTCAAAAAAACAGAAAAAATAACAATAACAATAACATCACATTGACTAGGGGATCATGGGCTTCACAAAACTGCCAAAGCAGTCTGCAGTAGAAAAAAAGACGAAAACCCGTGCGTAATAGAAATATTCATTGCCCTAACTCTTCTCAAAGGGATGCCTGACTTGGGGTGTGGTGGTGTCTCTCTGATTTGAGTCCATCTCTTGGTGCCCTAAAGGGGAGAGTCTCTGGGACTCTTGTCCCCAAAGCAAACAGCTGCATCAACTGCATGCAGGGCACTGGATGAGGGAATGTCCCAGGTGTAGAGAATCAATCAGTTGCAGGCCTACTTGCAACCAGTGGGCTGAGAGCCAGCCACACCCTCACATTCTCCTGAGAAAAGTGGCTGCTGGCCATCTCTGTACTGAGATTTGTCCCCTGACACTCATTATCCTAGCCACAGCCAGCTGGACCAGAGATCTCTCTTGTATTTGGGTGGTGGCCCGAGGAGTGGCCAGGCGGGAGAGCCTGCCAAATAGGTACTTGCAGATTGAATGACAACAAATCGACCCAGTTAGATCCTGTCCCTTGGGAAGTTGGGATTTGAACACTTGAGGGAGTCGAGAGGTGGCAGGGCCAGCAGAAGTGACAGGCAAACACACACACACACACACACACACAAAAAAAAAAGAGGTGAAGGGAGAAGGGGAAGTGGAGCCAAGCTTGGAGATTTGCCAAGTGAGGGTAGCCTTCTACCCCATTCATCCAGAGAAGGTTTGGCTGAGCACCCCCCAAGAGCCCACAGAATTGTGGAGGGCCGGGGGTCCCCAGCTGCACAGGGCTCATGGCAGAACATGAGACATACCAGACACCCAAAATGAGGAAGCTGGCGGGGCTTTTTCTCAGCCTTCCTGACCTAGCGTGACCTCCTCTGGGCCCATGTAATAGGCCTCCACACCCCCTTATGCCTGGTGCAGGCACCCTGTTAACTTCTATGTCCTTGTAGGTCCGTTTCCAAGGGCTCTACCTGCTTGACTGCTCCCAAAGCAGCCAGAGCCAGTAATGCCCCTGGTGGGGAACAGGGCTGGAGAGCAGGCTGGCACAAAGCAGGAGGGAGGGACAGAGAGGTCTGTCACTCATCCCAGAGAAGCATCGTGGGGTGGGCTCCTCTGACCTGGCTCCTTTGGTTTCCCATGGCTGGGCTCCTTCTCTCCCTCTGGAGCCTGTACCGTCCCCGCTCTCTCAAATTCCTCATACAGCAAACTTATTCCACTCTCTTTACCCAGAAATAGGTCAGACTCAACTACATCCATATCTCATTTCTTCCTAACAGCGTTTTGTTTCATTTTTTAGATGGAGTCTTGCTCTGTTGTCCAGGCTGGAGTACAGTGACACAATCTTGCTTCACCGCAGCCTCCACCTCCTGGGTTCAAGCAATTCTCCTGCCTTAGCGTCCCTAGTAACTGGGACTACAGGCGCCTGCCACCACGCTCGGCTAATTTTTGTGTTTTTAGTAGAGATGGGGTTTCATCATGTTGGCCAGGCTAGTCTCGAACTCCTGATCTCATGATCCGCCCCGCCTTGGCCTCCCACTGTGCTGGGATTACAGGTGTGAGCCACGGTGCCCGGCCCCCCTACAGCATTTTAAAGATGAAATGAGACTCAGAGAGGAGTCTGATGGCTGTAGTAAGGAATGAGGAGTCAAGCTCCTTAGTGTGCGCTACAAAAACCCTGCACACCTGACCATGTTCGCAGCTCCCTGCCACCCATTCCCATCCTACCCTCTCTTGCCAAACGGATACACTTGCTTTCCCCAAAACATGCCCTCTCATCTCCAAGTTTTTGCTCCTGATGTTCCCCCAGCTAGAATACCCCTAGGATATCCTACTGAATTGTGAGTCAACCTTTAAGACTCAAAGTGTGGGCCAGGCATGGTGGCTCATCACTTTGAGTCTTATCACTCAATCTCATCACTTTGGGAGGCTCAGGCAGGAGGATCACTTGAGACCAGAAGTCCGAGACCAGCCTGGGCAACACAGTGGGACTCCATTTCTTTAAAAAAAAAAAAAAAAAAAATACAAAAATTACCCGAGCATGGTGGTGCGTGCCTGTAGTCCCAGCTACTCAGGAGGCTGAGGCAGGAGGATGGCTTGAGCCCACAAGGTTGAGGCTGTAGTGAGCTATGATTGCACCACCACTACAGTCGAGCCTTGGCAACAGTGAGACCACCTCTCAAAAAAAAAAAAAAAAAAAAAGACTCCAAGTGTGCTCCACTGTTCCTTTTACACTTTCAGTGAGGCATCAGGGGCTGTGTCCTAAATGTATCTCCAGCCCTTCACATAGGGCCTGGCAAGGTAAGAGACCAATAAATGCACACCGTTTGGCTTCATTTCACTAAATCATTAGCGTCCAGAGGTATGGTCAGCACTTGGAACCCTGTGGAATGGCCTCAAGATCAGAATCCTCTTGCCCAATTCTTGGCTGGGAAGCAGGTGACATCTAGAATCCATGAAGGTATGGGTGATCTCCTGGGTTCTGGACATTTGCACTGAGTTTATTCAATCACTCAACAATATATATTAGGTCTGGGCTGAGCACGGTGTCTCACACCTGTAGTAATCCCAGCACTTTGGGAGGCCGAGGCAGGTGGATCACCTGAGGTTGGAAGTTCGAGACTAGCCTAACCAACATGGAAAAACCCCGTTTCTACTAAAAATACAAAATTAGCTCGGCGTGGTGGTGCATGCCTGTAATTCAGCTACTCAGGAGGTTGGGGCAGGAGAATCACTTGAACCCAGGAGGCGGAGGTTGCAGTGAGCCAAGATCATGCCATTGCACTCCAGCCTGGGCAACAAGAGCGAAACTCCATCTCAAAAACAAAACAAAACAAAACAAACCAATATATATTAGGTCTGTTATGCTCTAAACACTGTGCCAGGTGCTGGGGATCAAAGATGAATAGAGAAATGAACTGGAAGGATAGAGTGAAGCTAAAACTTAAAGAACACAACAAATCTGTAAAAGACAAACAAAAGAGGGTTTCATCTGTGCTTCTGTCCAGGTGTGCCGAGCTGGGGGTGGGGTTGCTCCTGCACAAGAGCATTCCTAAAGCAAAGATTTGAGGGGAATTAGATTTCTAATACCCAGGTTGGGTCCCACTTTCAGGAAGGTGTGCGACCTGAATCCTAAGCTGGACTCATTGTTTCCCTAATTCCCAGCATCGGATCTGTAAATTAGCGGTCTGGGTGGTAGCCGATTCGTTGTTCAGAGGCTCAGAACACCGTGAAACTATGCTTTCCTGACTCAAAAGACACAACCTTGACGTGGGCCCTTTGGACAAGCATCTGCCCCCCGCAGGAGGGTCTCAGGCGACCTTCTTGGAAGGTGTGACCACTTGAAAAGGAGGAGGCGGCCAGGCGCGGTGGCTCTCGCCTGTAATTCCAGCACTTAGGGAAGCCGAGGCGGGGGGATCGCTTGAGCCCAGGAGTTTGAGACCAGCTTAGGCAAGATAGGGAGACACCCCCCCCACCCAGCCCTGTCTCTACAAATAATTAAAAATTTAGCCGGGTGTGGTGGCGGGAGCAGGAGCCACTCGGGAGGCTGAGGCAGGAGTATCGCTGGAGTCCTGGAGGTGGAGACTGCAGTGAGCCGTGATTGCGCCACTGCATTTCAGCCTGGGCGACAGAGCGAGACCCGTCAATCAATCAATCAATCAAGGGGAGGCTGGCGGGAGCATGCTTGTGACCACTCAGGGCGACACAGACCCTAACCACAAGCCAGACCCCACCGTCCCGCCCGCCGCCCTTCTAAGAGCGCAGCTTCCGGAGCAACGCCGCTGACCCCCGCCCCCAGGGTCTTGGCGCCGATTGGCCAGCGATAACGCGGGGCGGAACCAAATCTTAAAGGATCCGGGAGCTAAGCTAGACCCGGGTGGTGGTGGCAGCTGCGAAACCCAGGGAGCCGATGCCACGTGACCCAATGTGGGCTTTTTTTAAACCTTTCTAATGTCCATAACCCAGCCTCAGGCCCATGGAGCCCATGAGAGACTGCCCGCTGTTCGGGGGCGCCTTTTCCGCCATCCTCCCCACGGGGGCCATTGACGTAAGGTGAGAAGGCCGGGGCGCCCAGGGGCGGCTGACTGGGTGGGTTGTGGGAAGAGACCGGGGTCAACCAGGGTCTACCTCGCCTCACTCCAGCGACCTCCGACCGGTCCCCGACAATCAAGAAGTTTTCTGCCATCCCGTCACGGACCAGAGCCTGATCGTGGAACTTCTCGAGCTGCAGGCCCACGTGCATGGCGAAGCGGCTGCGCGGTGAGGGAAGGGCCCCGGGCTGGCCAATGGCAGGGGCGGGGCCGGGGCAGTGGGCGGGACCCGCGGCCGACGGTTAATCTGGGCGGTGAGAACACGCAGGGGCCGGGAGCCAGGCGTGCAACTTAAAGATGCTCCCAGGGAGGCGGCCAGAGATGTCCCTTCCTGACCCCGCTTCCCTACTCCAGGTACCACTTTGAGGATGTTGGTGGCGTGCAGGGGGCTAGGGCTGTCCACGTGGAGTCTGTTCAGCCTCTCAGTTTGGAGAACCTGGCCCTGAGGGGCTGCTGTCAAGAAGCCTGGGTCCTCTCTGGCAAGCAGCAGATAGCTAAGGAAAACCAGCAGGTGAGGGCCTGAGAGTGTGCAATGTCCTGGAAGGGCGGTAGCGGGGGCGCAGAGATCCAGATAAGCATCCTGACTCTGATCCCCTTAGGTAGCAAAGGATGTGACACTTCATCAGGCCTTGCTGAGGCTGCCCCAGTACCAGACTGATCTCTTGCTCACCTTCAATCAGCCCCCGTAAGGAGGAAGGAACGGGCGGGTATCTCATGACTGGGTTCCCAGGAGAATCGGGCTGGGAGGGACAGAACAGGGAGACTCACTGGTGGGATCCTCCCAGGAAGCAGGAGTGGGCCAGAGGTTTGGGGTAACTGATACCCAGGTCCTCTGGAACCGGAATTGGCAATTTCCAAACCTCAGGCCTGGATGATGTTCTCTCTCCATCTGTTTCCCCACCCCAAGCCCTGACAACAGGTCATCTCTTGGCCCTGAAAATCTGTCACCTCCACACTGGAGCCTGGGTGACTTTGAACAGCTGGTGACCAGTCTGACCCTTCATGATCCCAACATCTTTGGTCCCCAGTGAAGGTGCTGAAGCACTGCATGATGTTGCTGAGAACTTGGGGACTCGGTTCTGTGAGGGGGAAAAGAGGTTGAAAAGAGAGTTTCCTCTCATTTCTTCCCTGTGCATAAACATAAGACAATCCCTCTTCAGAATAAACTTGCTTTATCATCAATATAATCTCTGTGCCTTTGAATCTAACAAGATGCCTGGGTCTCAGACACCTGGGAATTGGGTCTTCCAATTCCCTTTGGTTTTGGAGGGAGGAGTTTAAAGCTGTTCTTGGGAGCAGGAGGGACTCAAGGGTGGCAGTGGTGAGAGGGAGGAAATACACTTTGGGATGACTGGTTCAGTCCTGAGAGAGGAGTGTGAATTACCCAGGGAATGGGTAGGGAAGGTTTAAAGCAACACCCAAGGAAAGAAGGGAAACTCTTGTAGTGATTCAACCCTGAGAACAGATAGGGAGTGGGGTTGGCTGTCTCCCATGGATGGATGAAAGGTCACCTATCAGTAGTCACCAGGACATAGTGGTGGAGGCACAAATGGCCAGGGAGTGCTCATTTGGTGGAGTCTGGGAGAAAGACTGTTATTTAGTGTATGTGTAGTAGAGGGAGCGCAGCTGGTCCCAGAAGAAGAGGGAGAGGATGGTGTGGGGGCCGAGGCGGAAGTAGGAGGCACCTATACCCTTGTACATGCCAAAAATGCCCTCGGTCCGAGCTGTCTGCAGCAGAGCATCCAGAATCCCCCGGTACATGAGGCCCTGAGAGCATGTCAGAGAGGGAGGGAGAGCACAGAGAAGGAGTTTGTCAGAGCCCACCAGGGGCAGCTCCTCCACAGGCTGCATTTCAGGCTATCCCACCTGCACCCACAATCTGCCTCCCCGAACCCCTGCTTCCCTGCCTGCATCCCAGAGCACTTCCTTACCTTGCCCTGTGCATCTGTGGGCTGGTTGTAGAGCCTTGTGCAGGCCACATCAAAGGGTGCCATGGCCAAGACCACTGCAATGCCACTCACCATGGCAGCCACCAGAGCCAACTTCCAGCTCTCAGGAGGAAAGATCTAAGGGGGTAGAGAGGAAGAGCACTGTCAATCCGCCAGCCATTCCACCCCAAGGACAGGACAGTCCCTGCCCTGGGGACACAGATGCTGCTAACTCGGGGAGCTTCCACTGCACCAGTTTTAACAGTGCAAAAACACTGAGAAGGAGGAAGGCCAGGGTACCCTGAAGGCTCAGGTACCCCTTCTGGGAGGAAGTGACAAGAGAACTGTGGGAAGGGTCTAAAGAGTCAGTGACCTCCAAGCCCTCCTGCCACTCCCTCACCTTTGAATGTTGGGCACCATCCCCTCCAGGGCCCAGTGCAGCTTGCCCTCCCCTTCCCCGCTTCCCAAAACAGACCCACCCATTTCCCAGGCAGTACCTCCCACTGGCTCAGGAGGTCCTTGGTGGATGAGAAGGTGCACAGCTGGGTGGAGGAACCGACGATAACTCGGGGCAGGCCGCCCAGAGCCCCACGCCACAACCCCACCAGACCATGTTTCTGGCCAATCTCGGTTAGCGCCTGAAACATGCCCTAGTGTGGGGAAGACCAGGGGGTGGGGTTCAGACAGCCAAGCATCAGGGGCTGCCATCCTAACACTGCCAAGGATGGGTGCTTAATAGGAACCTGTCGTCCAGACAACCAGTTCAATGTGGGCTTAGAGCCAGAATGGGGGCCCTTGGTTGTCTAGCCACCCCATTGTTCCCTCCCTGGGCACCCAAGAACTGGGGCGGGATGCATGGAAGTGAGGGCATTCACTGGTCAGGAGAAACAGGGGCAGAAAATTAGAGGAACTGGAATACATATTGGAAAGAGGCGTTGGGCGTGGTGGCTCACGCCTGTAATCCTAGCACTTTGGGAGGCCAAGGTGGGCGGATCACCTGAGGTCAGGAGTTTGAGACTAGCCTGGCCAATGTGGTGGAACCCCATCTCTATTAAAAATACAAAAATTGCCGGGTGCAGCGGCTCACGCCTGTAATCCCAGCACTTTGGGAGGCCGAGGCGGGCGGATCATGAGTTCAGGAGTTCGAGACCAGCCTGACCAACATGGTGAAACCCCGTCTCTACTAAAAATACAAAAATTAGCTGGACGTGGTGGCACATGGCTGTAATCCCAGCTACTCAACAGGCTGCAGCAGGATAATCACTTGAACCCGGCAGGCCGAGGTTTCAGTGAGTGGAGGCTGTGCCACTGCACTCCAGCCTGGGCAACAGAGCGAGACTCTGTCTCAACAAAACAAAACAAAACAAAATTTAGCTGGGTGTGGTGGTGCACGCCTGTAGTCCCAGCTACTTGGGAGGCTGAGGCAGGAGAATCGCTTGAACCCGGGAGGCGGAGGTTGCAGGGAGCTGAGATCGTGCCACTGCACTTCAGCCTGGGCAACAGAGCGAGACTCCGTCTAAAAAAAAAAAAAAAAAAGGAAAGAGGGTCTGGGTAGACTCCAGGGGCAAAATGGGACAGAACCAATGGGTTGAGCTGGGATTGGAGCTGTTGGGTACAGGCAGAAAGCTAGGGGAAAAGAGAAAGGATGATCAGGGACTTTGGCAGACTTGGGAACTCTCACCTGATGCTTATACTGGTGCCCTACAGCAATTTCTGAGGCTGCCTGTGCCTGCAGATGTGTCTTCACCTGTGAACAAGAGAATATCATAGCCTACGGCCCAGTGGCTGTCCTCCTACCTCAGAACCAAATGTCTGACCCCCTCACATTTCCTCTAGGGTGTTCAGCAATGAATATCCTCTTATTCTGATAATTATTGTTGTTCCTACTTAACAAATTGGTTAACAAAAAGACTCTGTCTCTAGGCTCCAGCTGCGGAGGGATGGATCTCCCAGCACTGTAAAACACCACACCCCCTTCATATCCTTCTTCCCTTGGGGCTAGCAATTGGGGGTGGAGTGGTTGGAGAATGGCAACATTTCCTAAGGCATGTTAGGCGAGACCTGGGTGTCCAGCCTGTCATGCCAGCTCCCATTCCCAGACCAGATCTCCAGCCACCACTTCTATCAGGCTCCCCATCAGACTCTAGGCAAAACTTGCTCTCTAGCCCCCACTCCCCATAAAAGTATCTAGTCGATTTTGGAGAGACCACTGTCCCTGAAACTCAAACCGTGAGAATGGGACCAGACTGCCTCTGCTGCAGGATGTACTACTTCCCAGTCTCTTTTGCTCTTAGGAGCACTAAGCAGGGCCTAGTCCTAGCAATAAACAGCTGTGTGACCTTGAGTGGATCACTTCCCCTCTCTGGGCCTCAGGCTCTTGACCCTTCACCTATGCCAGATAACTCAAAGGGGCAGAGATTGTTAATTCTGTAATGCCCAGGATCTTCCTGATCCCTACACTCTCTGACGTATGTTAAATTCCTTATCCTCCCCTTCACAAGTCCAACCTCAATATCAACACATAATAATAAAAACAATGCTACCAAATGCTTACTCTCTGCCAGGATTCGCACTAATGCTTCCATGTCTACCACATTTGTCTCCCTCCATCCTCCCAATAATCACACAAAGGCCACTACAATTATTACCTTTTTACAGATGTGGCAACTGAAGCTCACCAACTAGTAATTTTCAAAGCCAGGACTTTAGTTCCAGAAAGGCTGATTCCAAAGCCCATAATTTTTTTTTTTTTTTGAGACAGAGTCTCGCTCTGTCATCCAGGCTAGAGTGTAGTGGCGTGATCTTGGCTCACTGCAAGCTCTGCCTCCCGGGTTCACACAATTCTCCTGCCTCAACCTCCTGAGTAGCTGGGACTACAGGGGCCTGCCACCACGTCTGGCTAATTTTTTGTATTTTTTAGTAGAGACGGGGTTTCACCGTGTTAGCCAGGACGGTCTGGATCTTCTGACCTTGTGATCTGCCCGCCTTGGCTTCCCAAAGTGCTGGGATTACAGGCGTGAGCCACGGTGATCGGCTCCAAAGTCGATAATCTTAATCAATACATTCAATCGTGTCCATCAGATGGGTGTGTATAGGGCAGGTCAGAAGACTCCAAAGCCTACCAGCTCTTTCGCGATGCCTTTCCCTGCTTGCAGTGGGGTAGCACCCTGCCACCTATGCCCTTAGGAAAGACCAGGCTCCTATTCTACAACAAGGATCTGCCCTGAAGGTCCCAGGCAAGAATCCTCTTCTTACCATGTAGATGGGGCTCCCCAAGTAGGCTCCCATGATCCCAGCCATGGCCCCAGCCGCTGCGCTGCGGGCAGGACTGTGGGTGCCTTCGGCTGTGTGCAGGTAGCCCCCAGCCTCAGCCAGTCCATAGGTGCCCAGTCGGATGCCATTCATCAGGAACTGGTATAAGAGGGCGGGGGCCAGGCCTTTCTGCAGGGCAGCCAGGCCATCCACCTTGCCGATGGTGATGAATGCATGGAAGACATTTCGGTAGTGCCGCTGGTATGTGCCAGGGGCCTGCAGTTCTCCCTGCAACTGCATCCTGGTCTTCACCACCTCCAGGGGATTGGTGAATACACAGGCCCCACAGGCTGCCAGGCCACTCATCAAGAAGTCCATGGTGGGTAACTGTAGCAGGGACTGGCCCAAGAGTAAGAAAGTAAAAATGGGTGTCAGAAAGCGGGGTTGGAAGACAGGGGAAGGCCTGTTTCAGCAGTACAGGCTGCAGAAGGTAAGAATTTAGGTTTGCAGTCAAGGGTGTCAGGGTCAAATGTCAAGTGGTCAAATGGAAGTAGTCAGCTGGAATTTGGGAGTCAGGAGCTGGCAAGCAGGGAAGAGACAGAAGTCTAGGAGAAGCTTATGGCAGAACCCTCTGAGGTCAAGGAGGGGCAAAAGACAGAAGGTGACAGGTGGGATGGCTCAGGATGGCGGGCGACGGGGGCAGGGGAGTAGAGGAGGGAACCGCGGAGTTGGGAGATGGAAGCCAGGCAGGCAGGAAAAAGAAAGCCAGCAGGTTAGAGAAGAAAAGGATCCGGGAGAAAAGCCGGTGATTTCCTCGAGCCAGCAACGAGATCTGGATCCGAGAAAGAAGTCAGGACCCAGGCAGCCTTCGGAGCTCGCAGCAGCTTCAACCCCGGGTACCCTGCGGAGGCCGGGCCGCCACACTCCTATCACTGGAGCGCTGGGCCAATGGGGAGCCTTCGAGAGCCGCCGAGGCCCTCAGCCAATCAGCGCCGAGCC